AGATAAATGGATAGATGGGTGGCTGGCTGGATGAATTGGTGGATGGATAGGTGGGTAGAATGGATAATTCATTGATTTACGGGATGGTCTGCACAAACCAGGAACTATTCTAGAGCCCCCCTTGACTCCCTTCACCCCTGAGATAAGGATGGAACTAGCATGGGAAGGGCACTGCTCTGCATTATTCTGAGTTGACAGACGTAGGGTGAGTTGAGCAGAACTTGCAGGTCAAAAGTGGCGTGTGCACAGATACTTACAGCAGATAGAAAGCCAGGCTTTTGAATTGCCCCCGGAGGAAGGTCTCAGTGCCCACGCCGATCAACACTAAGGGGCAAGAGAAGAAGGAAGAGTGGGCCTGGTGCTCTACACCACAGCACTGCCCTGTTAAGGGTTCCTTGGTTGTGGAGTGAGCCTCATCCCTGGGGACTGATAGCCAAGGTAGATTCTTCTCTTCATGGCACAGGCAGCTGTGACTGGCAAGGTGCAAGAGAGCTGGAAGCCTCTGGGATTGGTCCCTGGAACTCCAGGCAGAGCCCAGACGACTTCTGATTAAGCCTCCCCAGAGCAGCCACCCTTAGTGCCCCCAGCAACTGCCCACTCTAACATGCCACCAGCCCCTTGGTTCTCAGCTGTTCTCAGCCATGTGCTGGGGCCCACACCAGTGTGTGCTGTGTGTCTGGCTTCAGGGCTTGGCCATGGATGGGCCGTGCTCCAGCCCTGTTCTCTTGCTCGGGTCACTGGTTGCTGTTGCATGGTCTTGGTCTTGCTTGCTGAGGGGTGGCTGCAGGTCACACTCATTGTTCATTGCTTTGGACCCAGTGCTGATGAAACCCCTGGGCTTTCGCTCTGACAAGGAGATGTTGCTCAGCCTCAGCTCTCCTCCTGCCCTTTCTTGGCAGTTGGTGCTGAGCTTCCATTTGTCCTGGGTGAATTTCATCTTGGACCCGCCTTTCTAGACTTGCTGTCTCTGGGTGCTCTCTCACAGGGATTTGCTGGCTCTCACGGCTTCCTGCAACCAGCACAGCACTGACTCTTGCAGTCCCCAGTAGAAATATTCCAGGGGCAGTGCATTAGCCTGCTGAGCAGATGTCTTTCTGCCCCTAACTGATTACACTGCTGGGCACCCTGTTTCTCTCTGGGCTCTGATCACACCCCTGCTATGTGCTGGAGGGTGGTTTCATCCTCTCTCCCTCCCAGTCAAAGATGGTGGGCTGTGCTGTGGCTATCCCTGCTGCTCATGGGGCTGCTTCCAGGCTTCTTGTGCTTCCTCTCTTCCCTGGCAGGGACATTGTGTGGGCTTCCATCCCCTGGTGTCCCAAGCTGAAGGGAGCCCTTCGTCCAGTGCTGAAACACCCCTCCTAGAGAGCAGGGAAGAGCCTTGCACTGAAGCCACCAGCACTCCACCCCTTGATTCCGGGAGAAGGGAGTGATCACAGAGATACTGGGGCAGGGGATTAGGGGACAAAGCACTTGGATCTAGGCAGGTGAGAAGAGGCGGTTCTGTTTTCTGAGTGATGGATGGAGGGCTCTGGGGCTCCACTGTGCTTCATGGGCGACTGCCCACACTAATGTGCTACCAGCCCCTCGGTTCATAAAAGGGAGAAGCTAAGTCTCCCACCCTCTCCAGGTTCCAGCTGCCCTGCTGGCTCACCTGGGGCAAGCACTGGTGATGCTAACAGGCCACTGCAGTGTCAGCCTAACTGAAGGGTCCAAACTTACAGAGCACTTCAGAGCTTCCACACCATGGTGCACACGTCCTGGCCCTTCCAGCAGGCCTGTGGCACAGGAGTGTCACTCTCCACATTTCCCAGTGGAGGACAAAGCTCAGTGGCCTGTGTGGTTCACTCAAGGACACATGCTGGAAAGCAAGGGCCCAGAGACCAGATGGAGGCCGCCAGCTCTAGGTGGTGTGTGTTTCCTGCTTCCCACTGCCTGCCGGGATGCATGTGTGCACGTGTGTACACGTGTGTGTGTGAGTGTGGGTAAGCTTGTGAGTGCATGTATGTGTGAGTATATGTGTGCATGTGTGGCATGTGTGAGCGTGTGAATGTGTATGTGAATGTGTATATATGAGTGCATGTGTGGGAATGTATATATGTGAGTGTGTGTGTGTGTGAGTGCATGTATGTATGTATGGAGTGTATGTGTGTGAATGTGCATGTGTGAATGTGAGTATATGTGAGTGTATATGTGAGTGTGTGTGAGTGTATGTGTGAGAGAGCGTGTGTACATGTGTATGTGAGTGTATGCATGTGAGTGTGCATGTGCAAATATGTGAGTGTGAGTGTATATGTGAGTGTAAGTGTGTGTGTCTATGTGAGTGTGTATGAATGCATGTGTGTGTATGGAGTGTATGTGTGTGAATGTGCATGTGTGAATATGTGAGTGCATGTGAGTATGTGTGTGTTGTGCAGGCAAATGGCCATTTATTTGGTTTTCGCCATGTCCTGTTCTCAGCACTCAGAATTCATTCACTTATTTAATCATTGCAGCAGTCCTACGAGAAGGTACTCTTGTTATCCCCACTTTACGTAGAGGAAACTGAGGCACACAGAATGTAAGTTAAACCAACCACCCAACTATAGATGCATGCCCAGGTCAGAGCCGGAGTTTTGGTCTCTCATTTTCCAGTTCATAGCACAGTCACTCAGTCTCTCTGAGTCTCAGTTTCCTCATGATGCCTCCTGCACACAGTGGTCATGAGGACCGCAATGAGCTAACTGATGCCAAGCATGTCACAGGTGCTCAGTGAATCACTGGCTAGGGAAGGAGTGCTTCCTGCCCTGGGCCAGGGAAGGGTGTTTGAGTCAGGGCTGATGCCTGCGAGCACTCCATAGGACAGGCGTGGGCTCCACCTACATGGCAGGTCATCTTGGCTGATTTGCAGGGGCTTGTGGCTGATGACCAGCAGATGGCAGGAGAGGGCCTTGGGAACTCAGTTTCCTCCCTGGACCTGTACCCGTTTGGCATGTGGAGAGCTATTTTGATACCTTTTGTTTTGTATACCTTAGACAAACAAAGGGTCAGCAGTCAGAGGGGCATTCAAGGAATACTGTAGAGACAGTGCTAGTTTGCATTAAAAAAAATTAAAAAATGGCAACAGAGAAATGAGAGCTGGATGGACATCCCAGTTCTGTGTGTCATTACACACAAATGGTAAGTACTGAACTCATCCAAGCTGTGTTTTCTCATCTGTGGAAGGGGCAGAATAAGTTATAACTCAGAGGGTCATTGCTTGGATTGGAGAAAACGAGTCTGGAACGCACGGCTTAGTGCCTGATAGATGTCAGGTGATCAATGCAAAGAGGTGACTCCTTCCCCCAACTCGGCCTTGGCAGCTTTCCCAGTGTCCAGCCAGCCACTTTGCACTGAGGGGCATGGGGCCACTCTCCCACAAGCTCCCTCCCAACCACAGCCGGCCTGATTCTGCATGCCAAGACTGATGGATGCCCCTTGGCGGGAGGAAGAGAGAGTGGGGAGCCAGGAGTATGGGTCCTCAATGCATACAAGGTGGAAGGGAATCATTGGGGCACTCACGAGAGATACTAAAGCCCTTTGACATCTAGGCCAAGGGGTCATCGCTTCCTGCCTGATCCTCCCACTTTTGGGGCTTGCGTTCCTGGACACAGAGCATGCCAGGTTGAGACAACAGGAACCCACACTGAGTCCCTCCTCTGTCCTCTGCTCTGTCTGCTTCTGGTCTCGATGCCCAGGCAGCTCTGCTGGGAGCGGCAGGCCCACCCTCCTGGGGCGGGGAGGAGGTGGCTCCTGCCCGCTTCTTCTAGGTCCATGTGGTCTTCGGTGGTTACTGGTTGGCCCAGGCACCGGGCTTATTCCTGGGGTATACTTAGTCCAGCAGGAGAGGTGTGATGTGGACTGAGAAAAGTGTATTCAGCGAGGGCAGTGACCCAGGCTGGATGAGGTCACCCAGGAGCTCTGGGGCCAGAGAGGAGGGACCACTTGTGGGACTATGAGGAAAGATGAATAAAGAGGAAGCCAGAGGGGACTAGGAAAGCAGCAGGGATGAACCTGTGCCAATGGAGGGGCCAAGCACTGTGGGGGGTGGGGGCCCCTAACAGCAGGAGCAGGGGCACAGTGGGGGGCAATGGGCAGTGCCCATGGATCGAGGTGACTGTGGGGTCCTTAAATATCGGGTTCCACAGTGTGAGCAGAAGGGGCTCGTTTTTAGATTGGATTGGTATTTCAGAAATCTCCCTGATCCTGTGCAGATGGTGAGAGACTTTGGTGACATTTGGTGGTGGCTGGGGGACAGAGACCAGCTTCAGGTGCTCCTGGCCACCCCTTCTCCCAGCACAGGGTATCTGCCAGTTTCTTTGTTGACTTGGACTTGAAGCACAGTTCTGGCTTGGATCCCGATGGTGTGGCACAGGTGGCTTTGTTGTCCAGTGGCACAGCAGGGCCAGGAGAGTGGAGGGTCTGTTCTGTGTGGGGACCCAGTGAAGGAGGCTTCCAAGGAATAAAGCAGAAGGCATGCCCTGCCATAGCAGGTTGATGTTTGGGCTTTATCTGAGCAGTGGGAGGCAGAGATGTGGACTGGCCAGGAGGTGTCTGGGATTGGAAGCTTCCTGGGTATGTCAGCCTTTTTGTCTGTCACCCAGGTGCCACTACATGCCATGCAGACAGTAGGCCCTCTCCATACATCTCGTTTCATCTGCACACCTCCCAAGTGGAAACTGCCAACCCTAAGGTCTCCCAGTTTTCTCAGCGATGTGCTGGGTTCTGTCTCTCAGGAAAGTTGGCTAAGAATAGCTTTGTTGTGAAGACACTCCTGCTAATCTCTGAGAAGTGAGATCGACATATTGTGAGGAAGCCCAAGCCAGCCTTGTAGAGAGACTGCTAAAAAGAGAGAGAGAGAAATGAGTGAGAGCGAGAGAGAGAGAGAGAGAGAGAGAGAGAGAAATGGGGGGGGGCACAACAGTCCCAGCTGGTTCAGCTTTGCACAGGACAAATGACAGAAGAAGTTATCTTTGACATTCCAGCTCCAGCAGATGTGACATAGACTGGAAGTGATGGACCCAACCAACAATCAGAACTAAAGCATCAGATGAGCCACCTCAGCCCTGTGAGCCATGCCAGCCACCCTACCTGTGACCCTACCTGTGGCCCCAGTCATCCTGGAGCAGAGGTAAGCTGCTTCCGCTGCTTTCTGCCAAAATTCTTGAACCACAACGTTTTGGGCATAATCACATGATTGTAGTCTTATGTCACTACGTTTTAGAGTGGCCCGTTATGCAGCCACATACAGGTGACTGGAAAAGCAGCTTACTCTGTCATCTAGCTACCTGAGATTTTGGCATGGAAGTCCCTGTGTCTGGTCTGACTCCTTAGGAGTAAGCATTATATTCTGACTCCTTGGGAGTAAGCATTTCTGGGTCCTGTAGCATCTGCCCCATATCCTTGGAGATTCAGGCTCCTAGGAGTAGGGGTGGTGTCTGGGGACTCCCACTGAGTCATGGAATCCTATTGGTGGTTTTACATCTTAAGACTTCATCGAGGATCTGTGGAGGAGAACACTGTATCATCCAAAGCAGGTCCCTCCCACAGCTGCATTTTGCAAACATACTCAGTAGAAAAAGTGAAGGAAGAAAAAAGTGAGATTCCCTGCTGCAGGAATTTTGTGAACTGTCTCGAACACTCACCCCACACAGCCACATTGGGCTGGCTGTGGAAGGCCCTGGCCGGGTGTGCTGATTGGACTGTGCTGGGAACAAAATCTCCCTGGAAGGCATCCCCGTTCCGCATGATATAGATACAGGACCCCAAAATGTTTTTACCCAGAGCCTGGAGTTTCCTAAGTGTTTTCTTCCAGGGGATTAATCTCCAGAATTGGCAGGAGGTGAACATGAAGTGCCACCTGAAATTTAGTGGTGGCTTGAACGAGGAATGGGATTGGCACAGGTTAAGAAGAAGCTCCTCTCCTGTCTTCTGAGTGTCTGTTCCTGGAGATGGAACGGTGGGCCCCCTGCTCTCTCAGAAGCCTCACTTCAACCCATGGGTGAGGGTGGCCCTCTCCTTGTTTTGTGGAATTGGACCTTAGGCTTCTGCCAGGTTTTCAGATTTAGGCGGGGCTCTCTGTTAAACACAGAGAAGTTATGGCACCCAGAGAACCAGGACCAGGGTGGGCCCAGAAAGACACCAGGGCTCAAAATGAAGGAGGCATGCCTCCTAACATCATGGAGGTGCTTGTTCATTAAGGAGGTGTTCTCCCTAAAACTAAGGAGATATTTGCCGTTAAATAAAAAGGTGTTCTAAAATGAAGGAGGTGCTCCTCTTAAAATCTAGGGGGTGCTTATAGTAACATTTAGGGGGTCCTCATTGTAATGTAATGTGGCCCTCACTCTAAGCCCGAGGTGGCAATTCCTCCCTCAGGGGCAGTGTATGCCCTTCCCTGGCCCTGAGAGTGGTAGCTGTGGCCCTGGCATGCAGAGATTTGGGTGGCCCAGGGTCTGAGGGCTTCTAGCTCCTTGTGGAATTTGCCTGAGCGCTGGCCTTCCATCCTCCTGGCAGGACAGTGGGGCTGGCATCTCGGAAACTCTGCCTTCACAGGGTACTAGTCCAGTGTGGAAGCAGTTGGCCTGAATCAGCAACTCACTGGCACAGATACCCCTGGGGTATTGCCCTGAGCTGGGACCAGGGATTGAAGAGCTGATCTTTGGATCAGCTTATCAATGATTAGGAGCTAATCAATGGAAACAAACAATGGGACGAAGGCCCTACTACCCCCAGAATCAGAGCCTCATGACACCCAATTCTCTGCAAGAAAGAAATGCCCTGAGACTTGCCTCAATCCGGCTGTCTGTCTTTCCCGTTCAGGTGAAGGGGCACAGGGGTGCTGGGCAGTGCTGCTTGACATGCCATTAGTGGCCTTTGACTCCCTCCATCCCTCCCTATTACCCCACCTCAGGCCCCCCAGTTACTCTCACCCCAGCCTAACAGAGGCATCATATGCCCACCCCAGCACAGCTCACCCTACGCCTCTGTCTCACTCCCTGCGCAATTCCAGGAGGCACCGTGGATTGCACCTCAGTGGAGCCATTCCAGGACAAGCCTGGCCTCTCTCGTCTCGTTAGCTCCTTCCCTCCAGTCTCTGTCCTTCCTGTCTGGGCCGCATCCAGCCTCAGTACAAGAACGTTCTTCTCTCAGGGACCAGGGCTTGCTTCTGTGTTGCTTTACTGAGCTGTTCGTTGTAGTTCAGGCTTAGCAGAGATCAGAGATCCTGGGCCAAGACCTGTGGTGCAGGCCTGGGCCGGGCAGTCACCTTGTGAGCATCCTTCTCATCCTGGAGCTCTGGGTTTCAGCGTGGGTGGATGAAAGCTAGGAGGGGGCTGCCCTGGAGCAGAAAGAACATGGGGCTTGCATCAGAAAAGCCGAGTCCTGCGTCCTCACAAAGCTGATTAACTCTTTGGTCTGCATATTCTTCTGGAAAATGGGGAAAGTAAAACCATGCATAACGGTGCCCACCAGTGCTGGGTCTAAGTAAATGAGAGTGCTGCACAAATGCAGACGATGGCTAGGAAAGCTATTATAAGAGGCAGGTTGTTTCCATCAGTATTCTCCAGGGGAAGGAGAGGGCTTATTCTCATCCTTTGCTTCCATTAACACGGTTGTGGTTTTTTTTTTTTGTGGCCAAAAAGCTCTTCCCTATGCACAAATGTTGTTTGTTGTTCACTGATTTACTTTGAGGTCCCTTCTCAAAGCCCAGTTGGGATATAAGTGACCCAAACTCCCATCTGTCTCCTCATCTCTTGTGTTAGCCCTCTGTAACCCTGCTAGGGACCCCACAGGGCTCAGGCCAGCACGTTCCTGGGGCTGGGGACATCTGTGAGGCTGCCTGCTAAGGAGATATCCCCCTGGTCTCAGGCTGCTGTGGCTTTTGCCATAGGCTTCACCCCACGGTCCACTGTTGCTTATCCATTCTGACTCCATGGGTTGAATTTTGACATCTGTCTTGCATTTGTTGTGATGCCCTTGGTGGCAACATGGGATGCTTCACAGTCACCAGAGGCCACACTAACTGCATTTTTGTGCCAGGCAGTGACCTTGGCACTGGATGCCCGGGCATTGGATGAGAATTCTGTACTCACCATTGCTGAGGGCAGCCTCAGAACCCACCATATATATTTATTGCTTTCCTTCATTCTCATCTCCTGCTGGACTCAGGATCTCCAAGGACACCTCAGGGAAGATGCTCCAGGCTGATGACAATGGTCATGGATGGTCCAGGACAGGTGGTCACCGCCAGGGTAGAGGTGAAAAGCTAGATTTGCACCATTTCTAAGACTACGGAGATGCTGGAACCAGTTGCTGTGAATTATCTGGGACAGTAAGATAGTAGCTGCAGGATTCTTAGCTTAGAAGTTGTGCAAACAGGAAGCATGGTGGGGAGGTTTACCTGCCTGTGGAGATCAGTTCCGATGACGCACGTGAGCCAGGGTTCAGAGACAGTGTGGGAAAAGGGAAGGATTTCATGGTAGACATTTATGGACATTCACTTGGAAGAGACATCAGGTTGATCTTGTATTGAAGCTGTATAGCAATTTGGGGGAGAGCTAATGTCTTAACAATATTGAGCCAGGCTTCTGACCCATCAACAAGATATATCTCCATTCTTTTAGATTTTCTTTATTATCTCTCAGCCGCGTTTTCTAGTTTCTAGCGTAGTTTATTTTACATCTTTTGTCAGATTTATCCCTAAGCATTTCCGATTGTTGATGCTATTATCAATTGTATTTTTAAAGATTTCATTTTCTAATTGTTTGTTGCTAATGTATGGAAATACAGTTGATTATTATATATTGAGCTTGCCTTCTGCAATCTTGCTATTCCCTCCATGAGCTCTAGTAGCTTTAGGGGTAGATTCTATTAGATTTTCTATAGATGATAATGTCATCTGTGAATGAAGTTTTTACTTTTCCTTGACAATCTGTATGCACTTTGTTCTGTTTCTTTCACTGGCTAGAAACTCCAGTATGTTGCTGACTGGAAGTGGTAGAGGGGACACCCTTGCCTTGTTCCTAATTTAGGAGGAAGCACCTGATCTTTTACATTTAAGTAGATGTATATTTTCTGTAATGACCTTTTAAGATTGAGGGAGTTTCCTTCTGTTACTAGTTTGCTGATGATAGTTTTATTTTAATCATAAAGAAATATTGGATTTTACTTAAAACTTGGTGTCTGTTTAGATGATAATATGGCTTTTCTTTTTTAGTTTTTAAACATGATGTCTTAGTTCATTTCAGCTGCTATAACAAAATCCCATATACTGGGTGACTTATAGACAACAGAAATTTATTTCCTACAGTTCTGGAGGCTGGGAAGTGCAAGATCAAGCTGCTGGCAGATTTGGTGTTTGAGGGGCCCCTTTCCTTATAGAAAACTGTCTTCTCACTGTAACTGCACATGGTATGGTAAGAGGGCCCAGGGAACTGTCTCTGGTCTCTTTTATAAGGACACTAATTCCATTCAGAGAAGGCCCTACCTCCCAATAAAGTCATCGTGGGTGTTAGGATTTCCACATATGAATTTGGCTGAGTGGACACAAACATTTAGTCCATAACACATGATCAGTTACATTAACTGATTTTTCAAATATTAAAACAACCTTGCATTTCTGAGATGAACTCCACTTGGTTATATTATCCTTTCAATATACTTTTATTTGTTAAAACTTTGCTTAGAATTTTTGCATCTATGTTGATGAAGGATATTAGTCTATAGTTTTTTGTGATATCTTTGTCTAGTTTTGGAATCCATGTAAATACTGATTTTATAGAAGGAGTTGAGAAGTAGTCCCTCCTTTCAAATTTCTGGAAGAATTTGTGTGGAGTAGATATTATTTCTTCCTTAAGTGTTGGTAGAATTCACCTGTGAGGCCACCCTGGCTAACACCCCTCTCTTTGGTGATTAGGAAGGACTCTGCAGACTCACATAGTTCATTGGCACTATTGAGGGTAGTGTCTCCCGTGTAGAATAGCATCTTCCTTGTAAGGACCCTAATACGGTTTGGCTGTGTTCCCACCCAAATCTCATCTTCAATTCCCACCTGTTGTGGGAGGGACCTGGTGGGAGGTAATTGAATCATGGGGTCAAGTTTTTCCCTGTGTTGTTCTCATGACAGCGAATAAGTCTCAGGAGATCTGATGGTTTTAAAAAGAGGAGCTTCCCTGCACAAGCTCTCTCTCCTTGCCTGCTGCCGTCCATGTAAGACGTGACTTGCTCCACCTTGCTTTCCACCATGATTGTGAGGCTTCCCCGGCCACGTGGAATTCTAAGTCCAATTAAACCTATTTCTTTTGTAAATTTCCCACTCTGGGGTATGTCTTTATCAGTGGCATGAAAACAAACTTATACAGGCTCACAGGAGACATTTCTTCCAGATCTCAATGTCAGGGAAACCCGAAGTATTCACTTCCTACTCTTTCTCAGTGTTCAAGGAGAATGCATCTGCTCACTCATCCACATGGCAGGTTTCCAGATAGCATTGTCTGTGCCCTCCTTGTTCTCCATCCATTCCACACACACCAGGCTTCTTCATCTGACCATTTCCTGGCCTCCTGGGGGGTTTCCTGAGACCCTTCTCCACAGTGTCAGCCACTTACATCGGACAACATTTATTTTTGTTCGCAGCTGTCTTCAGAAGACTGAACAGAACTCAGGACAATCTTGAAAGAGCTGTCATTCCATGAAAAATAAAACAGGGCTGCCATCTTTCCTCTGGTTGCCTCACTCTATGTGGTGTAGCAATAGCCCAGTTCCTGTGGGCTGATCTTCACAACCCAAGCTCAGAATGTGATGGGAAATGTCTCCCAGTATGAGGCCCTTTCCAGTGTAGCCCCTTCCTCCTTCCAGCCTTATGGGCCACATGCTGCTTTGCTCCTTTCCTTGGATCTTCTTTCTTCTTTGTCCTACAAAAGGAACCGATAACTCATGCTACGCAGCTCTGTGCTCTGCACGTTCCTCTAACATTAGCCCACGCTGAGTGAGAATCTGTGTGCCAGGCAGCTTGCTACTTTAGCCATTGTTTCATTGAGTCTTCACAACTCCAGAGGGTAGATACAGTGGTTGTCCCCATTTCGTAGATGAGGAAACTGAAGTTTGTAGAGGTTAGGTGACGTGCCTAAGGTCATGCACTTGGTAAGAGGTAGAGCAGGACACAGACGCTGGTGATTTCTCACCCAAGCGAGCCCACATTGTGTTTTCAGACCTTCTCCCAAACACTGCGCTGCCGTGCTTGGTGCTTGGATG